ACAAGGTTTTCTGGTGCAATTGCATTTTCTTGATTAGTTTTTACAATTTTATTTCGACTTTCATTCTTTTTTTTCGTAAAAATTTAGTTACGACTATCGATGTATATTTTTAAAATATTTAATTTTATGCTCTTAAAAGAATCACTTGGTTTGTCGAAATGAAACGATTGCTTTTCATTTTGAAAAATCAAAGAAAAAAAAAAATTACTAAATCAATAAATATTATGATGAATTGACAATGTCACGATTTTTGAAACTTTTTTGGGTGGCGATTTTACCCCGGTCGCCCGGGCTGGCCAAATTTATATCACCGGCCAAAATTATACTGTTAACTTTGCCTGAATTTGTATTGTTACACTGCATTAAAAATTGCAAAAATACCAAAATATCGATCTAAATAAATCAATATTTTTACATGTAGTTGCTTAGTGGTTAGTGCACTACGGTATATCTGCTACATAGCAATTATACCTTATATTAATGTAGCAGTATTAATAATAAAAAAACGAAAGAATAATCAAATGTTAAAATTTTTAAAGTTACCGTTAACCGCATTAACCGTTTAATTTAGCCAGCATTAAGACAATCCTGGCTCTTGATCAACATAATTCGGCCCAACACTATGAAAGAATTTTTATGCGGTTAAACGACCCAACCCTAATTTTCTTAGATAATTTTTTACAAGAGCGTATAACAAAACTTTATTATATATATATATAGTATAGTATTAAGTATTATATATAGGCTACATGTAACCATGAAAATATGTAAATTTTTCCTTAATAAACGTATCATTAGGTTCGTCTCATTGAGACGAATCTAGTGGCACCAAAATTATTACAATTCCGATCAATATTTCACGAGATAATGTTTACGAAAGATATAACCCGTAGTAATCACTTTAAACAAAAAAAAATTCAGAACCCCCAAAAACCTAAAAATAAGGGTGGTGATAATCACATGGGTTAATTTTAGTATTTTTCTTTTGTAATATTTTTTTGTCAAATTTGTCCCTTTCTCAGCACCAAACCCATATATAAAATATTGAATGTTTTTTGCTATCCCGTACTAAAAGAATAAGATATTATACCCTTATGAATACTAAAATTGTTTACTAAATATATATTGACGATGTCTAAATATTTTTATTTTTTTATAATCAATATATTTTATAACCAAAAATTATATCAGTATTATTGTAAAAAAATAAGATTTAAAATTGTAATATACAATATATATTAAATAATTTTTCTTAAAATTTAGAAATTGTCATGTCTGAAGTAATTATTCGTATAAGAAAATGAACACATTTTACCAATTTTGTACCATTACCTTTCCACAGAGTGTCCTCCTCCTTGTTCCGGGCAATTAATTTTATTATATATAATAACTAACAACCACAGCCACAAAGAATGACATTAATCAATAAGTCTAAATGTAGCTTAAAAATTAATAAAACTTCTAAAATATAGCTATCAAGTATTTCTAATTAATATAATTAATTATGACTCTGTATTAACATTAACCTGGTGCAGCAACAGCTGGTTGAGCATGATTCCACCGTAATTGCCGAATATAAACTAGCCATCCTACCATAATACACATCAATAATATCGTTAAACTTTCAAACCAAGCTTCCCTTTCATCGGCCTCGTCGAAAATATCTGGATAGAGTGAACTTAAATAATCGTCTGATTTCTTTTGCTCCTCATCTTTTGCCATATTCTGAACATGTTCTACAGACCCACCTGTTTCATCATCTTCAATGAAAGATGGATCTTTCCACAATAATCCTTTAGATGATTCTTCCTCATTTCTAGCTGTGTCAATTCCGGTAATAAAGTCCCAAAAACTTCTTGAATTCAACCTAATTAATGATAGTGTGATAGGAAGATACGCATCTGGATTAGTCGTTAAAGACTGGTCGTACAACCTTTTCGCAAGATGAAAGTCCTATGAAAAATACTTTATTAAGACACTTATTTTTCTGAAATAGATATAAAGAATTGTATAAATAATTGGGTAACAAACTTTAGCAACTCCAAAGCCATGTTCATGCATCCACCCGAGATTCCACATTGCCATGGCACTGAAATCTGCTTCTGCAGCAACTTGGTAGCAAGCTGCAGCTTTTTCATAATCTACGTCGGTACCAAATCCTTTGAAATAATAGTCACCCATCTTTACTCGTGCGTCAACATTGCCTTGATTTGCTGACCGTGTCCAATAAAGAAGGGCCAATTTATCACGTGACTGATCTGGTTTCGGAACTAAATGTGGTAAATGCCACCATGACTTATCTTAATTTAAAATCAATGTTAAGCGGAAAAGTCAACGATCCGTAAAAACAAAAACAAAAGACAGCAAAAAAAAATAACAATAATAGTACCTTTGTCTAATAACCAAGCAACATTTGACTGTCCGACTTCGTATCCTCTCTCTGCCGCTATTAAATAATTAATTAACGCATCATCACGATCACCAGAAGAGTATGCTGCATATGCTGCAGGAAATGGTGAATGAAGCCAATCGCCTCTCTCTGCAACATTTTTGTAGAACTAACGAATTTACCAATGTAAATAATTACGTTGTTCAAAAATAAACTGTAAGAAAAATAAACTGTAAGAAATGAATGAAAATACACACTGCAGCAGCTAAGGGACATGATCTTTGTTCATTCGCAAGCCCTTTCATATATATTTCAGCTAAGTGATAATATGCTAAGAGATGATGAGCTTGATTTGCAGCTAACTTAAAATACTCGAAGGCTTTTTTATTATCATTGATTTCTGTGTATAAAAACAATATAAAGGATGAGAAGATAGCATTAATTCAAAGTTAATAATAAATTTAATTCAGCCTACGCAAATACATTAAACCCAAATTGACTTGTGCGTCGGCATGTTCACGGGAGGCCGCTACTTTAAAGAGTTCCATGGCTGTTTCACGATTCTACAAAAAGAGTATGAATTGATAACGGTATTCATTTAAAACGACCGGAAAGTGTAGGATCAATTACCTCCGGAACTATATCTTTGTCATTGTGTTTCAAACTTGCTT